ACTTTACTGCATTGGAACTTGATTGAGTGCCATATATTTCTGTTTATAAATGAGGTAAAAAAATACTTTTGATCAATTTCCACTCTGCCCTCAGAATTATGAACATCTTATTCAAATTTCTAACCCTTCTACTGGCCAGATTTGGATCTTAATTATTTAAGCATCCTTTCAGCCACTGAACTTCTGAATTTCTACCTAATATGTCCTTTAACAACAGCAACATCCTTTATTAGATGTGTCACTGGTCAATGACATCAGTGTCAACAGAACATCTCTCTCTCTCTCTCTCTCTCTCTCTCTCTCTCTCCTTTTACATTTATTTAGGTCTCTTCCTACTATTATACTTTATCTACCTCATCAGACTTCTTTATTAAATTAGCTCTGAGGGCCCCTAAATGGTAATTTTCTCCCCAGGAGTTTCCAGCATTCAGTTATGACACATTCAGTCTAATTCACTAATACTAAAACTTTTAGGGGAATTTTCATAGCACTGATCCTGTCAGAAGGTACAGAATTTCTAAAATGTTTTTCAACTCATGTCCCATGTCTTTGTTTTTCATTCCAGGCCTTTTCTCTCAGTCTTTAAGTCTGTTACTTATAAGACATTGCATTTCCTTTCAGTTCTTTATTTGTTATTACTTGCTCATTTAATGTGGCATTTTCAGGTACAGAATGGTATTTTCCCAGGACTGGAACATTTGTAGTTTTCTTCCAGTGACAGCACATGAATTTGCTTCCAAGTAAACCAAGGCTTAAACCAATCCATGAACTTCAAGGTCAAAGGCTGTGATGGGGTGGGATGAAAAACTAAAAATGGAGGATTTTATTAAATGCCTTGAGATGTGAATTCACAAATATTTCAGGCTGGATTAAATTCCTGGTTAAGGACTAACCTCTGGAAGCATCTACTTTCTGCAACATCTGCTGTGGAGGACAGACTTGGGCACTGGAGCTGTAACTGCCCCCTCGCTGGAGCCGGGAGAGGAACAGATGGAGTCTCAGGGACGACGTGGGATTGAAAATCACTCTGATTTGGACCTCACTTGTAGATCTTTAATTTCCCTCCAGAGAAAATTGTCAGATTGGAGCACAGGCATAATATATTTGTGTGTCTGTGCTTTACTGAGTCAGAATCTGGCCTCGCTCACTTCCTCTGCTCCTCTGACCTCTCCTCAGCTGCGAAGAACCGCAGGAATGTAACCTGGTGTGATTTCAGTGCAACGAGTAAATAAGTCTTGCCTTTCACATTTAGAAGAACCAGGAAAAAAAAAAAAGCTGAATGAAACCAGAAACTGTGATTTTGTTTGCCAAGACTGTGGTGTTTTCTCCACAGCAGGGATGTGTCCTGCAAATTTCAATCTGGAAATATTCATGTCCATACAGAGCTGGCTGTTTGATCTGAGCATGTTTTGTTCTTTAATTGGCCCTGAAGGAGAGTGTGTGTATGTGAAAACACTTGGAATCTGGTTTCTTAATAGGTTTTTAATAAGAAGTAACGTCTTATACCAAACCTTCATTTGCAGCACATTTTGAGAGTCTGTCCCTGTGTTTTAATTGATGCGGATGCTGGGAAGCACCTGAGTCACTGGGAAGTGGAGCATGATGGGTGTAAGAGGGAAAGTTAAATTTGGTGATGTGGGATGTGATTTGTGTGTAAGAAAAGAGGTCTAAGGGTTATTCTGAAGATTTGTGATTTTCTGTGATTTTCATCCTTAATTCTGGGTCTGAGCAGTTGGAAGACTTTAAATGTCCACAGTTCTTTAAATTCAAGGGCATTCAGATAAAAATCTGTACATTTTAAATGGTCATCATATTTGAAATAGTTTGTCACCCTCGCTAACAAAACTTTATCACTCTCTCTTCTCCCAAAACATTCTCCAAGCTTGTTCGATTCCACTTCTAAATCTGGACTCATCTCTATTAAAAAAACCCAAAGAGTAAGCTCAGAGTTGGGATATATTGAGCAGGAATACAAGTGGTTCCTGTGCTGGGAGAGGAAGGAAATTGGGTGGTTCGAAGTGTAGAATTACTGGTAAGTTCAGAAAATGTATTTTAGTAGTCAAAGCATTTTCAATACTTATGAAGAAGCTTGGGATTGGGAGAAATATGATTTCCTGCAATCAAGGTGCTGGGAGTTGTTTGCCAGCCACTAATGCCTTTAGGGAAATCTCGTAGCAAAGTGTGTAAATGAAAGGGATATTAGCAGAGATTGGCTTCATTTTCTTTAGGGCAAAACCATAAAATGTTATGGTGTTTCATATGCCCGACTTCAGGTGGTTTAGTTATCTCCTGGCTGCTCTGTTCCAGAAGTTGTTGGAAAATGTTTTGACAATATTGGTGAAACTAACTGGTATAAATTTTATCAGTTGTGCTACAGAGAAATTTGTGCAGTAAAAATGCTTATAAATGTTAAATAAGAAGAATTTTGGGTCAATAAGACCAATGATAAATCTCCTCTTAAATTAAGTGTGCCTGGAGTCCTATATTTAGTGGAGCTATTGCCAAATTCCAGCAAGGCTCAAGCATTTTCAATAATTATTACAGCAAAATTTGCAGCATATGTTTTTTTCCTATTGACGTATTAAGCATATTTGCAATAGAACACATCCTTCAAGGGACTGGGCTATTGTAGCCTGGTTAGAGATGAGCCCAACATTGTCATCAGTGTAAATGACTTGGGAAATCATAGGGAAAATTGAAGGGTTTGGTTTGGAAGGGACCTTAAAGATAATCTGATTCACCTCCCCTGCCATGGGCAGGGACACCTTGCACCAGGTTGCTCCAAGCCCCGTCCAACCTGGCCTTGGACACTTCCAGGGATTCAGGGGCAGCCACAGCTTCTCTGGGCAACCTGTGCCAGGGCCTCTCCACCCTCATAGCCAAGAATTCCTTCCCAATATCCCATCTAACCGTGCCCTTTTACAGTTCGAAGCCATTCCCCCTTGTTCTGTCTCTCCAGGCCCTTGTGAAAATATTCCTAATAATTCTTTTTTTTTTTTTGAATGAAGATTCCTCCTTGCATTCCCACCTATGCCATAGGCAGGTGAGGTGCCAACAGTAACTGTGCTGTTGCATTCCCAGAACTGACGTCATTAATCCCTTTGCAGGAAAAACTTACTCCCAGATAAAACTGAGTATTTACTGGGAAGGACTGGAAATTAAATCAAGTTAATTCCTTTTGGGCTTTCTAACCAAGCCCTGTGTGCGTGTGCAGGGACATTGCGGAGTCACATATTGTATCCTTAGAAATGAATCCACGTGAAGTTGGTCCTAACATGCCTCTTGCACCGGAGGAAATGGATATTACAGTTGCTGGGTTGAAACGTGCGCTCAAATGCATTGGGAGTTTGATACTATTTTTCAAGCTGCCAAATAGATAATGTCAGAACATTTCTGAAATGGGATCCTCACATCAAGATATACGGCACCAATCAGCTCACATCAGGCAAAGTACAGCGGAAAGCTGTGGATGGAGGAGACTACTACAGAATTTCCATTTTCATTCCCTATGTCAACAGCTTTGTAACTTACCTAGTAGATTGTTTTATGTTTTCCAGACATATTCTCAGTAGACCACAAACACTACATTCAGCTCAGCCTTCAGAACCCAAAGAATTAGATATGCTGTAGTTTATGAAATGGATGTTTATGAAAGTATCCTTTGTTTGAATTGCTCAAAAACCCAACATGAATTCAAACTTTGACAGCGTAAGCAGAAAATAAGAGGGCCATAGTGATCTCCCAAATGTAGCCTTAACTATTGAGGTTCTCATATTGAAAATGCAATTTTCTGTCTAGATGTTTATGAATGTCTTCAAATTCCCTTTCATAATAGCCCCTTTTTGACAGGCCTTTTTCAACTCTGAAATATGAGAAGAAAGGTTGCTGCAGAATGTAGTATATACCATTACAGGAGGTGCACCTCTGTCCCTCAAGCCGACCGTGCTCCTTCGGAAGTCAGGGATGATATATGTGTGTGGAGGAGGTTGCAGAGCCCAAGATCCGTTGCAGAGAAGCAGGATTCTTTTACTGAGTCACAGTGAGTTCAGGTGCTAAAACACGATGTGACACTTTAGGGAGCCTGTCTGTGTAAAATGTATGAATTCTGTATGATTTTATAAACTGCGGGTATAACTCCAGCCTCGCGTAATCTTCCGAGTGCTGGCAAACCTCATCACACAGTCACTGAAGAACAGTCAGAACTGTTCATATTGAATTACTCTCCACAGGTAGAAATGTGTTTTGTTTTGGAGAGGGTCTAAATGAAAGGAATCAGTTTCCCGTGGATAACCTGCGTGTGGTAGAACCAGTGTCACCGGGATGGATGGGCAGCAGTGCACAGCACAACAGAGCTGAACATACGCAGGTTCTACCTGTTCTCCCACACATTTTCACACTGTCCTTGTGCTTTTGTAAGGACCTCATGGCAAATGATTGTGCTCTTGGGCAGCTGAGGGATAGAGCCCCTCAGAAGACTGTATCCTGAGCTGGATCCCCACAGCATGACCAGCAGGTCGAGGGAGGGGTTTCTCCCCTTCTGCTCTGGCGAGACCCCACCTCCAGTGCTACCTCCTGCTCTGGGGTCCCAGCACAAAAAAGACCTGTTGGAATGAGTCCAGAGAAAGCCACAAAGGTGATCAGAGGGCTGGAACACCTCTGCTTTGGAGCCAGGCTGGGAGAGCTGGGGGTGTTCACCTGGAGAAGGCTCTGGGGAGACCTGAGAGCTCCTTCCAGTGCCTAAAGGGGCTCCAGGAGAGCTGGAGAGGGACTTGGGAAAGGGCCTGGGGAAGGGCCTTAAGCTGAAGGAGGGTAGATTTATTTTAGATATTAGGAGGAAATTCTTTACTGTAAGAGTTGTGAGTCCCTGTCACAGGTTGCCCAGAGAGGTTGTGGACTCACAATCTCTGGAGATATTCGAGACCAGACTGCATGTGGATCTGAGTAACCTGATCTAAGGATCCCTGCCCATAGCAGGGGAGTTGGAACTAGGTGATCTTTAAGGTCCCTTCCAACCCAAACCATTTCATGATTCTATGTTTATGACTCTATGATTCTATGATTGGAGAATCCCATTGTTGGATCTCCACTGCCAAAACAACTGGTGACCCAACTGCCAAGACAACTGGACAGGTCAGATAAGCCACACTGGGAGCTCTCTACATATTCTTATATTCTCTAAAGAAATAGTATTTAAATGATGTTTCTCTGAGGGGTTAGAAAGGCAAAGAGGAAGACAGGAAGAAGTGCAGCTCTTTGCCAAGCAGCACTCCCAAAGGAAAGCTGGAACCCTGTCCAATTGCATTTCTGTGCAACTTCAGTGGTAAATTGGGGCACTTGCTTCACTTCTTGTGTGTTTCATTAACATTTTTGCATAAATAAAGTGTACACTGTGAGTGGAATAGAAATCTGCCCTGAAAATGTTTATCTTCTCTTCTTTTTTTTTAGATATATAATGTTATTTGTCTCTTAACAGTAGTGGGAAATACACAGGGTTCCTGTTCCTCATAGCAATCTTGGTGTGAGTCTGGGTTCAACTCCCCATTCAAACAGCAGTCTAAGTATAGAATAGATAAATATATAAAGTATTTTATAAATATAAATATAAAAATGGGTGTAATTCTGTGCCTGTTCTCAGAAGATGCTGATGTCCAGGCTCGGAGCAGAGGAGCTCACTGGTTAATTGGATCCATGGTGGAGCAATACTGGGAAGTCCCCTGGCTGGGCTGAGCTTGACCTGGCTCTGTTCCCACACCTCCTGGGAGGCAACATCCCTCCAAAATGCTCCTGAGGCCACAATACAGCAAATCCATATGGCAGGTGCACAGCTGGGGTGGGATGCTCCCATGTGTCCATTTGTAGGCAAATCTATTCCATGTTCAGCTTCCAAAGTCGGTTTAATAATAAACATTAAAATACCAGCTGACCTGCAAGAGGAGAAAAAAAATTTGTTTGTGACATTAAACACCTTCACATGAAATAATTCAAGTTAACCTGCAGCAGATTTTAAGCATAAGCAAGTCCCTGGGTGGTGAAGGTAGAGATGTGCACCCTGAAAAGGTCAGACAGCTGCTGAAACCTCCGTGTGCTCCCAGTTCTGACAAAAATGAGGTGGAGGCAAAGACAACTCCGGAGCCAGCCTGAGGAGTAGGAGAGGAGTGTGCCAGTCAAAAGAGAGGTAACATTTCTATTTCTGATAGTGCTGGAAGGTACCAGGAGTCAAGAGGAGCTGGAGAACAAGTGCTCCATCTCCTGAATTTGCACATCTTGTCTAAAACTTTCCAGATTCTCCGCTCTCAGGATGCTCCCTCCAAATCGCTGCCATCCCCTGCCTGGTTTAGCTTTTCCTGGCTTTACAGAAGCACAACAGGAAAACCAGCCAAGTTGAACCCAATATAATGGTTGAATAGTTTTATTCTGCTCTGGAACACGGAGCAGAGATCGTTTTGATTCGTTTATTGTTTCAGCGCTGGGCAAATACAAATATTTCTCTGCGTCTGAGGATATTTTTAATCCTGCTTTTTAGATGTTGTTTTATTTTGCTTGAAACTCCAAATGCATTCTTCCCAGAATTTCTAAGCTCATTCTTTTTAATTTTTTTAAGGGTATCCTGTCACTTTTTAAATACAGTCTTTTCATGTTGCCAGTGAATTGCTTTGATCTGCAGATGAAAACTGATGAGACGCCGTTTCCTCAGCGCTGAACTTTGCCAAAAGTTCCGAGTGTGTCTGCAGTGGAGCCTGTCAGGATCCGAAATTCGGGAAAATAAAATTCCTGACAGGACTTTCCAAAGCAATCTTTTCCCATTGTCTGTAAAACAAAAAGCCCGGGACAAGGCGTCTGTGGTTTGGTAGCGTGGAAGTGAATGAATGGAAAAGGAACACATTTGGTGGGTGTATTTTCTGGTTTATTTATGGAGTAATAGCTGGGAAGTAAAGTTATATTCCTCTTTCTCTGTGCCACATCTCCATGACTCAAGGGATCTGGGAAGGGAGGAGCTTGGAGGATGGAGAGAGAGCTGGGGGAAAAAAATTGCCCCTGAAGTGGTCTTAATAAATTTATCCTGAAAAGGACCATATACAGTGATGCTGTAGGATTGTAAAATAGTCTTGGGTGGATTGGAGGAGGTCTTCAAGCCATCCCTCTGCCCCAGCTCCAGGATCAGACACAGCTGCTCAGGGCTTTCCCCAACCAGGTCTGGAAACCCCCAAGGCTGGGGACAGCCCAGCCTCCCCAGGGAGCACATTCTTCAGCTCCTCTGCCCTCCCAGGGAAGATGTTTTTCCTGAAAATCCAGTACTTTTGGTGCCTCTCGGTGCTGAAGTTCAGGAAACACACACATCCCTTGGGGGGAAATGGACTATTTTGGTCAATTCATGCCAAATTACATAGTGGGTGGTTGGAAGCCCAACATTATTCTCATAAATATCACAGTTCCCTCAGATTCAGATGAGTGATTCTTTTTCGCTGAACTGCTACTTGAATTCTACAGCATATTCCAGGGAATAAGTAAATAAAACACCATTCATGCCATGGGATCAGCATACTAATTTATGGCCAGATCTGAAGCCTTTTCCCAAGGCAAAATACAATTAAAGCCAGGCAGAACTTGACCCGAGTGAGCACTTCAGCATTTGATCTGTGAATTTGACTTTTCTGAATTTTTATTATTTTTATACAGTAGTAAAAGTCTCTCCTGCTGGTGATTTTACATTGTGCTGGATATTGAATTCCTTGCAGCAAAGGCCTCACCTCTTGAAACCTAATCTTATATAGCGTGCCATCTAAAGAACTTAATTCTTATTGGGATAACAAGTTTAAAAATATATATTTTTAAAGCACATCCGTGACATTTTTGTTAACCTGGTTCTAACGGTGATCCAGCAGGAACAGCAGAGGATGAAAAGTGAGGAACAGGCTGAGATCTAATCTGACCCAACTCATTGATTCCCTCCCTGACCTTGGGTAAGCCTTTTGACCTGCCTGGGCCTCAGTCAACTCAGCTGGAAAATTGGGTAAAGAGCGGAGCCTGTTAGAAAACCATCTTCAATTTGAACAAAGATTTCCCGGAGACCCAAAAAAAGTGAGTGTAGTCATTTGGTACAGACATAATTGATTGTGGACTGCACAAGAATAACATCCTGAGCTGTGGGATCCCATGGATGACATCTCATTTGTCCTGTGGTGGCTGGGTGGTGTCTGCGTCCACTTTTCCTGTCTCCAGAACTGTATTTTCCCTTTCACAGTGGTAGTCCTCAGTAGCAATGTGGCTCAAATACTGCATGAGCCTAGGAAGATGGTGAGGTGTTGTCATTATTCCTGTTTCGATGAGAGTTACTGAAGTAAATTATTGCCCCCTGGATTTAGCACGACCTGGAGTGGCATCACATGGTACTGTGCCAATAACACATAGAAATGAAAACAGGGATTTACAGAATCACAAAATATTTTGAGTTGGAAGGGACCCACAAGGATCATCGAGTTCAACCCTTAGCCTTGCACAGGCCCATCCCCAGGAGTCACACCATGTGCCTGAGAGCATCATCCAAACAGTCCTTGAGCTCTGGTAGCCTTGGGGCCGTGACCATTGCCCTGGGGAGCCTGTTCAGTGCCCAACCACCTTCGGGGAAGAACCTTTTTCTAACACCCAACCTAACCCTCCCCTGATAAACTCCAGGCCATTTCTGAATTCATTACTCAGAATTCATAGATCACAGACTGGTTTGTGTTGGAAGGGACCTTAAAGCTCATCCAGTTCCACCCCCTGCCATGTGCAGGGACACCTTCCACTATCCCAGGCTGCTCTAAGCCCCGTCCAACCCGGCCTTGGACACTTCCAGGGATGGGGCAGCCATAACTTCTCTGGACAGCCTGTGCCAGGGCTTCCCCACCCTCTGAGATTCTCCTGAGGCTTTCCAATGTGTCCTGGCTTTTCCAAGCCTTGTTTCCTGCCATCAGTCTGGCCCCAGCGGTGCCTGTAGTTACCAAGAGGAGGGTTCAGGCTGCAATCCCAACATCGATCCTCATGTGTAAGGTCAAGTCAGAACCCCTTTGCTCCACAGGGTGCACGAGATGTGCCTAAAACTGGAAGCGTGGGGTTGGCTTTGTGCAGATCCCCCCATCCCTGATGGAGCTGTTTCTCCAGCCCGGCTGCTGGAGCAGCCCCCAGGCACAATCTGGAGGGTGCAGTCCTTTGGAGCTGAGCCAAGGGCACTGCCATGGCATGTGGCTCCAGCCACGCGGGGCTGGAGCGGCTCCCGGCCGCGTGTGCGGCGCTCCCGGCTCTCACGGAGCTGGCACTGTTTGTCCTGGGCAAAGGCCAGCTCCTCTCACTGTGCCAGCGTGTTTGAACCAGCCCGGACTTGCTAATCTATTCTCCGTGACCCACACGCTGGAAAAATGACCGTTTCCTTTTCCCAATTCCCACATCTGCTATTTGTTTTCCTCTCTTTGCCTTCCCAAGATTTGGGAAGGAGTTCAGGAATGCAGAGTGCTATTCAAAGCCAGGCTGACCTCAGATACTGAGTGGCATTTATCTGGCAAGGTTTGGAGGTAAATAGTGAAGGGGAAGCGGGCATGTTTCTTCACTTCCATGTGTGTATTTCTAAATGTTTTTAAATAAAAATAATGATTTTATTCTAAAATGTTACCTAGAGTAGGAGGGACCTGGTATTTCCAATGAAAACTAGTAAATCCTGCTTTGCCAGTTAATTTGCTCTGTCGTTATCCTTCCATGAAGTAGTCTAAACTTTAACATTAATATTAGGTGCAAACACCTACAAAAAGTCACTTCTACTAGTCCAAATGAAATTACTATGTGAGAATGACATTTATGTTGGAATAAAATCATCACTGTGCCTCATATAACATAATATATCTCTATATTTTGCATCACAAAAAAAAAAAATCTTAGGCTCTGCTCCCTTTAAAAGTGCAGGCACAGAAAACCAAAAATTTCACTTCAAAAATATTCAGTATTTTTAATGGAATAGTCTGAAAACATTTTGTTTTGAAGACATATTTAGCAAGGAAATTTGAAAAGCAGTGAGCACAAATACAGTTTGGAAGCAAAATGCAGCCAGAATTTGCAGAATAATACAAAATATTAATGTCTAGGAGGGTCTGGGTGATGAGTAATGAGAAATAATCCACCTTTTTTTACCTTCTTTTATTTTCCCAAAGAAGAGAACTCGATAGACCTTACTGAATTAATTTCCCCGCAACCCTTTTTAGTAGGAATGAGGTGATTTTAATTTTTTTAAGCATATATATCTTGAAATAAAGAACAATTAAAACAATCACATCTTGAAAAATAAAATTGTTAAGGAAGATTAAAAGGAGATTTAACCAAAGATTCTTCTCTGCCTTTTTTGTAACAACTCAGTGAAAGTTTGGTGTCAAAATTGAAAGTAGAAGCTAAAATTGGAATCCGGTCTATGGCTGTGTATTCCTCTGGGCAAAAATACAGGAATTACCCACAAATATTTGGTGGGGTTTATATCAAGAGCCAAAAATATGTGTACTTATGGAATTAAAGGGAAAGGAATTTTAGAAGAGCTGATTAAACTTGCTGCAATGCTGCTGTTTAGATTAATGGCCAAGAATGAGGAGCTGATTTTTTCTGACTTTTGAGACACACGTTCCTTCTAAGAATGAGGATCTGATGATAGGAATTAGCTGAACAGCAATGAGTGTGTCAGGGTTTGCAGTGTGACACATCCTGCCTTGTCCCTTCCTCTGAGATGTGTCATCAGAAGTCCTCAAGTAACTCTGAAAGCCTTCAGTTATTCATATTTAATCTGCTGTTATCACTCCCGTGTTCCTTTTGCTCTTGCCCCTGCCCAGATTTCCTTCCACCACTGAGCACCTTTGTTTAAGATTATTTCCCCCTGGATAGATCAAGGTGCGTTTTTCCAAGTTCAGTGTCATTTGTCACCGTTCAGCAACTGAACTTTGAAATCCCCCCTGATCACTGATGCCACCCACTGTCGCTGTCGTAGGAACAGGAGGCAGAGATGAAAAGTGCCATGAGATCATCCAGCCCAGCTCCGGGGATGGCTCTGGCTCTGGCTCTGGCTGGGGCGATGGAGATGGAGGGGATCTTTGGGCAGCTCTTTGGATCCAGGCTCAGTGTTTGCTCCCGCAGATAGATAAGGTTCTCTTTCATGTCCAGGAACCATCAGGATAGGAAAACCCAATGCACTGGTGGAATGACTCAACCATTGTGACTGGGAGACCCTGCACAGTGTCAATAGATAGACCCTGGCTGTGCTTCAAAGAGCTGTGACGGTGACAACAGGGAGTCAGGGCTTATGGCCTGGGTGAGGAGACCTCTGTCCATCCTCAGCCAAGCACCACATCGGGACTAAGTGTTTGAAATACAGAAAGTTTTGGCATAATGCTTAAATATGGAGCTGTTTTGTGCAGAGTGAAAGGAGAAATATAGTTAGAAAGGGATCAAAAATCCATACTTTCAGTAGAAAATAAATAATAATAAGCAAACCAGGGGGGTAGGGAATTCTCGCTGAATTCAGTGCAAAGCTCCCTTTCATTTTATTAGAATCATGGAATGATTTGACTTGGAAGGGACCTTATAGATCCTCTCATTCCACTCCCTGCCCTGGGCAGGGACACCTTCCACTAGCCCAGGTTGCTCCAAGCCCCGTCCAACCTGGTCTTGGACACTTCCAGGGATGGGGCAGCCACAGCTTCTCTGGGCAACCTGTGCCAGGGCCTCCCCACCCTCCCAGCAAAGAATTCCTTTCCAATATCCCATCTAACCCTGCCCTCTGTCAGTGGGAAGGCATTCCCTTTTGTCCTGTCACTCCAGGCCCTTGTCCCAAGTCCCTCTCCAGCTCTCCTGGAGCACCTTTAGGCACTGGATGGGGCTCTTAAGGTCTCCCTGGAGCTTCTCTTCCAGAGGCTGAATGCCCCCAGCTCTCCCAGCCTGGTTCCATAGGACAGGCAAAGAGAAAAAACAAGTTATGTGTATTTGTAATCAAAGTAGTTTGTGGTGACAAAGTTGCTGCATGGAGAGAAGTTGTGCATCCTAATTTTCTTCAACTTCTTGCTGTTCCTAGATTTAGCTGTGACTGCCTGTTGGTCTGTAATGTTTATTTTTTTTCCCCTGCTGAGACACTTTTCTGTGCATGTCAACAGCACCACAACTGCAGTAGAGACAGTCCTGGATAAGGTCAGTTAGATTAAAACTTGTGATTTTTGTAAATACTTTTGTTGTTTCTCTCTGACATGTGAATGAGTTTTTGTTTCTTTAAAATATGGCATGAGATTAAATCAGAGTAAAAGTGTCCTTTTATAAGCTGGGTCAAAGGGGATATAGAGACAGTAGGTAAGTAAGTCTGTTAGTGTAACTACACAAAAAAAAAAAAAAGAGCAAAAATGGAGAAAAAAAATGCATTTAAGTACTTTAAGTACTTTAGTCTCTTCAGACTGACTGTCTTCAGCTTATGAACTAATTGAGGAGAGAATGAAAGCATAAAAGCATTTCTTGTTAGAGTTACAGAAGTAATTAATTGATCATATGTTGTTTCTTTAGCAATTACATGATATTCCCCTGTTAATCTGTTGAATATAAACACCCAACGTCTCTGCTGTTTTCCAAAGTGGATAAATGAAGTCCTTCTCCTCCTCCTGGGGACCTGTGGCTGGTTTTGACCAAGGTGTTCCAGGAGCTTTTGCCATTTCAGGGGTGCCAAAGAACTCTGCAGACAGGAGACTTTTCCGTAATTAAACTCGTTGCAAAATAACGGGAGATCTTCATCACACTCTTTGTATTCCTATAAAATCTGTTGCCATGGGAGCTGGCATTGAATAGCAAGGTAGTGGAAATCAGGAGTGTTACATTACGTTTGCCCTGTAGCCACTGGAGGGTCCCTTAAAATAAAGTCGCCTTTTATCTTTGCTTTCTGAATAAACATAAAACTAGATTTTTAGTGCAAAATCCTGATTTCAAGGTTATTGATGCCAGACTAAATTAATACAGTCTGTGCGATAGCACACAAAATCCCCAGCAAAGCCAGGGATACTCCTGTCTTTTGAAAGCTTGACATTTGTTTTTCATAATGAACTTAAAGGTCACCAGCTACAGATGAATCAGGGTACCTGCTCGAGTTTACATTTACATGCATTTTATTTTATTCCCAGGTGCACTTTTTATGAGATCCATCACTGGAATAAAACTGTAGCGCTCTCTTATTATCTGGGTTTGATGGTCTAGAAGAGTTATCAACCTGCTGCCTTCAGGAACGGGCTGTTTGTTGTCTTCACTGCATCGCAGAACCACCAGATATCAGTGCAGCGTGGGTCGAGGAATGTCTGCTTTCTTTCCTCCTAGGCCTGAACATCACCACTAGTTTCACCTCTAAATATCACATTAAAAAGTGTCTTGTTGTTCCTAACCTGTAATTCCTCGTGTCTTGACATCGTGCTCAGTCCTTGAAATGATGTCACACTGTCCAAGTTAGCGAAAAATGGTTTGTGTGTGTTGATGCTTCTTTAATTCTCGTTTTATTTCTAGAGATGATGATGTAATTAATCAAAACACAGGTTTTGGAACTTCTAGGGATTCCAAATGCCTCATTCAGCCTTACAATGAATGTGTCCCGTCTCTTCTGCATATGAATTTTTGTTTTTGTTCAGCCTAGCAAGTGACCTGTTATTGCTGCACGGATTTCTTGAAACTAAATAACATTTTATACTTTTACCAAAATACCTGTGGAGCTGACAGAGCATGATGCATTCATTTTCCTTGATTTTGTAGTGAGGGAAAAGGCTAGCATGAATAATTCAAAAATAATGCTGAGACTGTTAAGATTTAGTACTGGAGAGGTCATCACAGTTGGGAGAATGAGCTGGGAGACTATTACTATTCCACGATCTTTGAATCTCAAGGTGACATCATTATTATTTCTCTATATCTATAATGTGGTGCTGCAACCAACTTATTGCAGTGTTTCTCATGTAGGGTAGAAAGATCAATTACATACAGACCTCAAAATGTGAACTATAAGCATAGTGTCCAATAAAACTGTCATTAACAGTCACCACAATTTTAACTGTCTGCTTCCAGGTCAAGCTGTTTTAAAAATGATAACTGACATTGAAAGGTTGAATAAAGAGCACCCATTCCAAAGGGAACAGGTCTGGACCCAAATAACTTGTCATTAACAGATTTGCTAATTCCATTCTGCAGTTTATGCAGGGATTCAGTGTTTTTCTCATTGTTTCTGGTGACATATCCTCTGACAACCCTGTGAAAAAAATAAAACCTGAAGTTTTCCACATGATCAGCATCCACAGTGGTATTGGGGAATGCAGAGAAAGCATCCCTATGCAATTTGATTTAATTTGTTCCTGTCTTCAATGAGAAACTGAAAGATATGACCCAAATGGAAGTTGGATTGTGGAGGTGCTTGTTGCAGTACTTTACCTATTACCTCACCTCTCCGTGTGCTGTCAGCTCACTGGCGTGCCTATGGAAGTGTGAGTTATCCAAAATAAACAACTCCCTGACGAATATCCAGAGGAATC